AACCTGGACGAAATATGTCCTCTAAGGCACCTCGTTCATGTTTTATTGCATACATCTTTCGACATTTTACTTGATTATTCCCATGATTTCTCTTCCTTCTAGAAACATAGAAAAACAAAATACAATGAAATTCTGAGTGCTTCATCGACTGGTACAAGCTATCTTTTTGTCTCTGTGCACGATTCTTAATTTTTGCACTTCTGAGCTACCCTTAGAGTTTTTACATTAAGATGTATATATTCAAAGAAGATTATGATAAATTTATACACGACTGATCTTGGATCCTCACTGTTCTATAATGACATTTTCGTTTTGGATGACTTTTGTGAAAGAACAAAACAATGACGTCAATTATTTTTTCGCGAACTCCATGTACGACATTTAAGAATCGACACGAATCCTTTCTTCTAAAGCAAATGCTTTTTGTTTTAATGAATAGATATCTCAAGAAAAAAGAACACAAATGCAAAACATAGTTCTCTTGTTTTACTCTCTTATTAATCTTTTTCCGTGCACCTCCTTATCATTATACTATTACTCTCTCTTTCTCCATGATATTTCGTGTTTATTCCTTTTATTTACTCCAACGAATATTTCCAGAAGCATGAACTAATACTCATCGTAATGAAATTAGTAGCGTGCTATGAAACGTTTTGCATTACTGATGTAACTTTTGACTTAAATATTCTCAATGTATTTTTCTATTGTGTCAACACTTCTAAATATTACATTCAGTAGTATCATTAAAAAGACAAAAATTTGCATTTTCCTGTGCATTATGTAATGATATGATACTTGTAGAGCAAATCCAATCGCTCGATGCATAAATAATACTTTTTCCTCGTTCTTGATGCATCTTAAATTCGGAATTTCGAAAAATTGGAATTTTTTTCAACTTTTTTACCAGTTTCTTTCGTGCCCTACGTAATAGAATAGTTACCTTTAAGTTACACGAATACAGGTGAACACATGACTATACATCTGCAGAAAAATACACACAAACTTATCTAATTTCGTATGACTCTCCTGGCAATCAAAGAAGTCATTATTGTGTCAGTGTCTAAAGGCTATTTTGTTTCTGACTTTCTAACCTAATGGCAAGTTCTGTAAATGTTTCTTTCATATACTTTATTCATTTTTGTTGGAGTACCGTGACGACATTTTACACAAGAACAATTATTTCTCTATGAAGCACTAACAGACAAAGGTTGTGCATCAACAAAGGTTGCACAGGCAGAGCTTACATATAGACATTTATGGCCTACCAAAAAGAAAGAGGTAAGAATTCCATTCGTATGAGTTGTGTAAAGTTTTGTGCTCATGTCACTCTGATATTTTTCGATAAATTCCTGAATAATTTTACAGATATAATAGATCAACTGAACAAATCTTATTTCTATTTCACTTTTTCATCATCACGTTACTGAAAATAGTATCCAGAGGATTTACATTTATTTTTGACTCTAGTAAATATATTCATTGTTGAGCACTGTTCTCAGTAATATTAACATTTTCTCGACTAAAATGATCTTGACAAGAATTATTGAATTAAGCATCGGGAACGTTTCTATTTAGTGCGTGTCAATATTAATATCATTTTCTTGCTGAAAATTTCACTTATTCTCTTCTTTCTTGTTTTTCTTCTCGTTCTCTCTTTTGCTTTTTCTGCTGTTCATCTCTTTTTTATGTGAGCTTGTGTAAAAAGCAAAAATGACACGTTCTAAAGATATGAATTAGTTCAATTAACATCATTATGGAGACTGACGGTAACCTACTCATTCAGTTCTTCATTTGGCAGCGATTCCAGTAGAAAGTCTTCGTTGTATGACAATTCTTATAATTGAATTTACATCTCTCTGTTCGAAGTTATTCCTTGCCACTATTAGCAACAACAATAATTCAACATCTTGAATCATCATTTCAACACATGACAATAATACCTCAGTTCGAAGAAAAAAAAAAAATAGTTGCTATTCGAATGTGCTCATACTGTTGAGCATTGCAACAATGTGACTAAAGAACATCAACGTACGAAACAGGAGCCAATTACATGTCGACTGTGCGTGGTTCCAACGCACTCATTCTGTGACACTTTTACTTATTTCACTGGATATTTTCGAGAGATTTCGAAATATAAAATATAGAAAATGACAGCTGAGAACTGATTGATAAACAACTATAAAATGTATACAAAAACAACGAAAAAACGCGATTTATATAGTTTTGTCTGATTAAAACTTGATTAAATACGCAGTATTTTAATCTGATTTGAATCAAATTGTTCGATTTCTAATCGATTTTAGTCACGATAGCTGTAGAACCTGTTTTTCTGAAGCCTAATTTAGAAACTTAATTTCTCTATTAGTTCTCAGAGTTCTTGAATTAACAAATGGTTGGTACATCACTAGACCAACCTTTCGAATACATGTCACACTTCAAGAAACAATATCAATCGATACACTTACTCATGCAAGAAAAAACTCCGATAACACAGATTAAAATCGATTCTTTTTCCATTAAGTTAATTAAAAGATTGATTTTTCCATTTTTTTCACGTGGGAGGCAGTGTTCGAATCGGTTTGAACCAAGTGAAGAAAATTTGACCTATACCAGACACTAATAGGAAGCACATTCTCAAAAACTATGCCTGAACGCCCAAAGTTTTCAAAAAATGAGTATCTTTTTCTATACCACGGCGCGGCGGTAGTGGCATCCACGCAGTCGATTGGTTAATACCGCTAGTGACACAAACACCTGTGAAGAACATAATTGATATTTATTAAGATCGAAATGTTTCAAGCGAGTAACAATAGACGAAAAGTAGTATTGATTGAGGCAATAAATGTGAGTAGAGATGGAAGCTAGAAGACATGGGGCTATTGAATGACAGTAGTACTGAGTGATTGCAGTGCTAGTAGAACGACAATGTTATAGAACAGCAGTAAGTGTACTAAAGAAAGGCTAGGCCTAGGCCAGTTGTATGCCGATACAGTAGAGTTTACTTGTAACATTTGTACATTTTATGTTACTTCGTCTTAAGTCATCTCATCATGCTTCATCGCAGGCGGATCTGTTTCCGCTTTGAGAAAATAGGAAAGTAAGTTGGTGTTGATGATAATGAATATGATTGTATATTGACTTTAAATTATTGTAATTCATTTAGCATCAATAAAATGGATATCACTCATTCAAAAATCATCAAGCTATAATGATCTGTTTCTAATTGCTTATTACTATCTGTATTTCATATAACCGATTATTCTTAATTACCAATGATTCTTAATGGTCAAATATTACTAGAGAAGCATGTTTAATGATGAAAAGTAGTCGACTATTCGATAAGAATGATAAGATATAGATCAGAGATGTGAACAGAACTTGCTTCTCTGATTGCTGTTAAGGAACATAGATTCTTTTTTGCACTATTTGAAACTGTTGTGTTCCACAGGAGGAAATCTGGAAATCTTTTTTTTACACTTTTGATGAAAAATCACTATCAAAAGATTGAAGCTTAAGAGTATGAAAAGTTTTCTATATTTCTTTGATCAACGCTGTGATACTGACTTTTTTGTTGCTTTCGTCTTCTTCTTTTATTTATGCGGTGTCGATCTAATATTGATTGTAGAGTGTGGATAGAAATCGTTCTAAGTATCTTTATGCACTGGTATATATTCAATTTTATGTTTATCACATAGTTTTTTGGTAATTAATAGGCATAATAGAACCCAAAATGTGTAAAAGCTTTTCAATCATTTGTTTCCTTCTTTGATCTGTTCTTAAGATTGTTATGTGTTTGCAGTTTGTGTCGTAATGACATCATATTGTATAAGGAAATATATATCCGAAAATATGTGATTGATTGCAGTTCTATAACGAACGCTAGAAGGCGAACTTTTTTCTTTTTTTCTATGCTTCAAGAAAAAGTCATATTTAGATTGACCGAAAAGTAACGGAATGATTAGTTTTCCATGTTTCTGTTTTTAGTTAGGTTACTGTGTATTTTGTATTATGCAGAAATGCAGAAACATGCCTAAAATAATTGGAAGAGTGCACCAATATTGACATGGTCTAATTCTTTTGCTGATAACATGTCTTCCTCTTCCTCTTTCTTTTCTTCTGTTCCTTCTCATTCCCTCTATTGTTCTTTTCGGTATTCATCTATTTCCCATATAAACTACGCTTGAATGTGAGAAAAAACCATTCTGGAGTTATGAAGTAAAATTATCTTTCATTGAAACTAATTGTGAAATAAGATGGAAATGAGAATAATGATATAATATAGTGCCAACCATAGAAAAAGAGAGAATACATATCTGAACATTCATTGCTGAGGCGACGAAAGACAAGAATAGAACATTGCCTGTCCGATATTTATGGCACTTCACAGTAAATAGAAAGCAGAAAGAAAAGTAGTCATCCATAACGCAGTAGTACTGCTACATCTGACCGTGATCTGCAAAGAAGTCTATGTTTACTCATGTTGTGAACAAAAAAATTTAGGCGAAAAACGACATTCATGCCGTTTGGATTGGGCTGAATCATCGTGGACAAGATGGATTTATGTGGCCTCTTTGTGGTGGATCAAACCTATACTCTCTGTAGGCAATCAACGTACACTAGTTGATAACGATCTCGATGATTTATCTCCGGACGACACATGCTTCGTTTTATTGAATAAGGTCAATATTGATGATCACATATGGCCAGGTACATGGCAACTAATTATAAGCACATTCGGAAAAGATTCTTTACTACTCGGCTTAACTCTATTTTTGTATACGGCGGCTCGTATTGCTCAGCCATTGCTTCTTCATGAAATCGTCCGCTATATTAGTACCCAACCAGCTCTACCTGTATATGTCGGCTATTTATCCGCTGTTGGCCTTGGCATTTGTTCGATTATGCAAGCCATTATTCATCAAAATTTCTTCTTTCGAAGTGCACGTATAGGTATGCGCGTGCGTAATACATTATCATCCATTATCTACAAACGTTTGCTTATGATTAACACGGCATCTCTTCAGAACACTACTGCTGCTCAAACTATCAATTTAGCAGCAAATGATGCAAGCAAATTTGATGAACTGAGTCTTTTTGTACATTATTTATGGGAGGCACCTTTTGAATCTCTCTTAACATTTGGTCTCATTTGGTGGAACATCGGCTTACCCACATTATTCGGTTATGCAGTACTCTTTTTATTGGTACCCATACAACTAGTATTTGGTCGACAATTCGGCCACTATCGCAAAACAACAATGAAATATACGGACAAGCGCGTTCAAACTATTAACGAGCTTATAAACGGATGTCAAATTATGAAAATGTACAATTGGGAAAAAGTAATAGAACACCGGATAAACGAATTACGTCGTCGTGAATTTTCAAGTATTTTCAATTCGAGTTGTTTGCGAGCACTCAACATGGGTATCTCATTCGCATTACTTTCTTTAATTTCTCTCGCTACATTCGGCGGCAGTTGGCTCATGAATCGACAGTTGTCGGCGGCAGAAGTTTTTACCACACTAGCTTTTTTTGCCATGCTTCGAGCACCGGTTACTATCTTCTTGCCAATGGCCATCGAAAAACTTAGTGAAGCTCGTATTGCCGCAAAGAGAATCGATGCGTTTATGCAGCTCAATATTTTGCCAAAGAAAAGAAGAAGAACACTAAATGATAATAAAAATTATGCGATAATTATGCAAGATGCATCCTTTTCTTGGGCTAATTCTCCTAATCTGTTCATTCTCAATTTTCAAGTCACTCATGGCACGTTGATCGGAGTGAAGGGTGCCGTCGGTGCTGGTAAGTCATCTTTACTTGCTGCTATTCTCGGTGAAATTAATCTGATTAGTGGAAAATTCCAACTGAATGTCGATTCTATCTCGTACGCTCCACAGTCGCCATGGATTTTTGCTGACACTATTCGCGCTAACATTCTTCTCGGCAAAAAAATGGATGAGCAACGTTACAAGGCTGTCATAAAGTCATGTTGTCTTGATATTGATCTACACACGTTTGGTGAAGCCGGCGACTTGACAATAATCGGTGATAAAGGTGTTAACTTGAGTGGGGGACAAAAAGCTCGAATATCGTTGGCTCGTGTTCTCTATGCTGACGTCGATTTATATTTATTCGATGACCCACTTGCTGCCGTTGACCCGAAAGTAGCAAAAAAGATATTCGATCAATGTATCGGTTCTCGTAGCCTTCTCAGTGGGAAAACCCGATTATTGGTCACACATCAAACACAGTTTTTAGCCGAAGCTGATCAAACAATTCTTTTAACAGATGGTTACATTGATGAATCACAAATTGAAAAACCAACAGCAAATGACGCGTCAAATATTACAGAAGAATTCGATTCGTTACCATCCACTGAAGTCGATTGGATACCTCAAAGTGCAGTAGTCGACAAACATTCGATAGTAAAAAATGAGACATCATTTGATGGTGCCGTCAATTGGAATGTTTGGATACGATTGTTCACTGCACCACCTTTAAGATGGTTTGGCTTGTTATTTTTGATATTTATCATAATTGCAAGCGAAACTCTATATGATGCGACAAATCGTTGGCTCAGTGTTTGGTCAGCCAAACAGTATGCTCTACAACATTCATCGTCAGACGCCTGCATCTATCTTGGACTGACGCTCGGAACATTGGTCACGGCATTAGTACGAGCCATCTACTTCTATTATATCATGTTATGTGGATCAAATTATTTTCACAATAGCATGCTCAGTGGTATCTTATACACTTCGTTGCATTTCTTTGCAAGTAATCCGAGCGGACGAATTCTGAATCGAGCAAGTAAAGATCAACAAGTTCTCGACGAATTATTACCCTTAGCTTTACTGGATGCCATGCAAGCTCTACTTTCAGCACTAGGGGCACTTGTGATCATTGGCATTATTAATCCTTGGGTACTTTTAATTCTTTTCCCACTCATACCTTCTTTTTGGTGGCTTCGTCGATTTTACTTGCGTTCAAGTCGTCAACTCAAGCGACTTGAAAGTGCAACGCGAAGTCCAATATTTGCACTATTTTCGTCTTCACTGGATGGACTCATGACTATTCGCGCGTTTAACGTTGAAGGTGATTTTTTACATTTGTTTATGGAAAGAATTGATGCTAATTCCCGTGCCTATTTTACTCTCGGTGCTGCTGGGCGATGGTTTGGTTTACATCTCGATCTTATGACATCTGCACTTACTATACTCACCGCTATTCTATCGGTTACGTTGCATCATCGAATCAATCCGGCGGATGCGGCACTCAGTCTGGCTTACTGCATCAATTTGGGAGTGTTCTTTCAGTGGGGTGTACGACAATCTGCGGAAGCTGAAAATTTCATGACTAGTGCTGAACGGATTTATGAATATGGTCAACTTGTGTCAGAAAATGATAGACATAGAAGCGAGAACAAAGTGCTTATCCAACCGCCAGATGAATGGCCTGCTCGTGGTACTATCGAATTCAAAAATTACACCTTTCGCTATCGACCAGAGCTCGAGCCGGTACTCAAAAATATTAATCTACGCATTGAATCCAACGAAAAAATTGGAGTTATTGGCCGAACAGGTATAGCTATCTCTCTCATGGATACAGAAAAGCACGTGAGTTCCATTTCGATCTCTGCTCTAATTATTCAAGAAGCACATTTATCAATACATACAAGTGTGCGATGTCTTTTTTTGTAATTTTTATCTCAGAAAAGAAAACAAATATTGCTAGAAGTCAAGCATGACAGAAGATTTTGAAATCAATTAAATTGGAAGATGTGATTACTTAGAATCTGAGCCATCAAACAGATGTAATCAATTCTACATCAAATTCGACTACATGTCGACGAAATTTTTTAAAAAGTGAATAGGTACTGAATAATTTTTTAATTTGTTTTAGGAGCGGGAAAATCATCGCTGTTTCAGAGTCTCTTTCGACTTGTCGATCAATCGGCAATCACAGGAAATATTTACATCGATGATATTGATATTAGCCATATTTCGCTGAATCATCTTCGGTCTCATTTAAGCGTGATTCCACAAGCACCAATCTTATTTAGTGCTACTCTTCGATACAATCTTGACCCTTGTGAACAATTTTCTGATGAACAATGTCTTATGGCGCTTGAGAATGTTCAACTAAGACATTTGGTTCGTAATCATCCAGACGGACTCAACTTGCTCGTGACTGAATCAGGTAGTAATTTGAGTGCTGGAGAATGCCAATTGATATGTGTGGCACGAGCCATTCTTAAGAAGAGCAAAATTTTGCTTATTGACGAAGCGACTGCGAATGTCGATCATGCGACTGATAAGATAATTCAAGATGTCATCGCAGACAAGTTTCATGATCGTACCGTATTGACAATTGCACATCGATTCAATACAATAGCCAATAGCGACCGCATTCTTATGTTACATCAAGGAAAAGTAGCCTATTTCGGCAAACCCAATGCCATAGATCTTTCTCAGTACGACAAGCAAATGATGACGTGGTTCTAGATTTCGTCATCTACAAACAATACTTATTAAATCGTCGTAGATACCAGTTAATCATCTCTTCTATTTAGACAATATCTCATTAATTTCTTACTAATTTCCAATCTTAAATTGTTTTTCTAGCTAAAATTAGTATTTACTATCAAAGAACATGTTTCAAAATAATTCAAAAGTTGAATTGAAAGTTTTACGCTTGTGTCCCATCTTAAAGTATCTTTGACTCATTTGTCTTCCATTCTCATCAAATACAGTCGGATGATCATGCCAGAACGCTTTATATGATGCAATGACTATGCTACATTTGAAAATTGATTGGATGAGCCATTTGATAAAATACAATGAATTGAACTATGTATTTTGTAAAGCGCGATTAGATCTGTAATCCAAAGCAACTGTTGTGTCTACTAGAAAGACTGTTTCTGTTTTTCTGGTAGATTACAGTCCTCGTACATGGAGCTTGTGGTTTTAGCATCTTTCAGCTAGATCAATCTTGCTCAGGCTGATCGAAATGATCTGAAATAATAGTTTGTGATATATTAGCTTACTATGAAAATTAAGAATTGGTTCGTTTCATTCTGCAACGACTTTTAGATACTTTGCTAACTGTTCAGTTCTCAAAGTTGATAAGATTAGATATAGCTTGAAAAGTTCAACAAACAAAAACAATTTGACTATCATTTTAGCACATTTTGTCATTTTCATCTTCTCCTAATTTCATATAGTCGCAGTGAAGAAATTGTAGAATTTAGGATTTTTCTAGACGAACTCAGAGACTGCTAAATGAAACATGAACAAAGTGAATCTGTTATTCTGCTTTGAAGAAAAGACAAATATACCACCAGTGGTCGAATTCGATACACAAAATAGTAATTATATATCTATATATATATTAATTGAATGAGAAACATTTCATTAATATCATGGAACTTTCTTACTGCCAGATCAGGCTTGAAGCCAGGCGAACTTTTTTCAATTGGACTAGAACAATCTGTTTAATCTTTTCAATCAATAAAAACTGATCCGCATTACATACCAATTGAAGAATTTATTCTTCTGAAAAAGGTGTATTAGTATAGCTTCACAATATGATAGATTATAAAATAAAATTTATACGATTCTTGTAGTTTCCGATAGATCCAATTCCTATCTTCTTGTGTCACGTTTCATATACACTAATATTACGAATAACGAAGGAAATAAATGTTTCAAAACTTTCTATCTAGTGACTTATAACAGTTGATATAGAATAATATTTGTGCGTGTTGTGGGTTGCCTTTCTTAAATAAAGACATGACTTTAATACAAGAATTAATAAGTTGGATGTTTTCTTATTTGAAATCAGTATTCAACACAACCAGCAGATCACTTAATTTTCATAGAGTAACAATTGTTGGCAGAAGAAAAAAGAGATGAGTCATGATGTTCAATTTGTGAACTGAACTGAAAATTTTTCCGTTTCTCAAGATCTCTATGTCTTTGTGTTTACTTCAAATTAGAAGCTGACAAAACTGTCAAAAACAAATTCAAGTGATTTCTTCTATTCAGCTAATAAAAATACGAAATACTATCAATTGAGAGTTTCAAGCAGTGAGCACAGTACTGTTAGAAATGAGCTCGACCATTCAAGATGAAAATTTTCTACAAATGTCCCTCTTTAATTTTTTTCAGTTTCTTCGATGTTTATTTATTGGCAAAAGACCGGATTAAAATGGTGCTACTAGTCAGAATAATTTGCTAGTAACTAATATTAGTAATGAAACAAAAAAGTAATTTTTGGCTGTCCTAGCAATGAGGAGTAGCTTTGAATAGTAGCTGTGGAGTTCCTCTTGATAAATGAGAACTAGTCTAATCATTTTTCTATCGTACTATAATGTCAAACTTTATTTATTTCTCTTCTGCTTGAAATAAAAAAAGCAAGAGAACAAGAAAACTTCATAAACATTTGACGCTACTAAAGGAAATAAAACGATTAGTCTATCTGAAAAAAAATCGAAAATGAAACATAATCGAACAGGTTTAATGTTGATTAAATGAACATATTTTGTATGTATTTATAGTCTATTATGTATCCTTATTATATGGTTTTAATAGGTATATTTATACAAAAATTATTTTTCCTTTATCATTTTCAGATTTTACATAAGAAATTCATAAAAAAAACTCGAATCATGTTTGTTTAAAAATTCAAATAAACTCAACATTTTTGACATTGAAAATATATTGAAAAAATTGTTTCTACAAAAGTTTAATATGCAATTCTTTCTTATACACAGAATGATCTAAAATAGTCATTTTATACTTAACAGAAACGATCTGATTATCTCATTTCTAACGTGTCACAAATAGTTTAAACATCAACAATATGAATTCAATAAGTGAAAATTGAAAGTGGACATTTTTATTTGAATAAGAACACATTTAGGTAATTTTACTTTCAAATAGAGTTACTAACACTTAAAGCTAAATTCCATACGAATATAGAGTTGGTTACAAAGATTCTACTTCATGGAAATTTGAATCTGTATGAAAAGATGACGTGTGCATTGTTTTTTTCTGAATTGATGAAAAAATTTCATATTGAATACGTAAATGTGTTGTGTATTTTTTCATTTATTCTATTTCTATAGATGGTCTTCATTGCTTTTTTTTAATGAGTTCTTATTATGGATCAATGTAGATCGTTTAGCCACTAAAATATCCAATAGAAGAAAACTTCACTTACATGTATGATTGAACTATTTTAAAATAAATGTTCTACAACAATATGTAGCTAGTTACTGAATGATTTCAACAAATGCAAGAAAAGAAATCATTGAATCAGTTTCGATTGTATTTGTTATAATCAATCGTAGAAAGTATTCCGTTGAATAGATGAAGCAGAAAAAAATAAAGTAATGATAAAAAGGAAAACATCTAACGGATTTGTTTGTTGATTGGGTCTGTTATCCTTAGGATAAAATCAATCTTAGAAACAATGCAATAGTTTTTTTCTTCTTTCTTTCTTTCTTTGATTTAATTCAAAACAAGTTATCATCAAGTAAAATATTCAATATACGCAACATATTCAGATAAAATTTTTCCAAATAAAGAGAATCTTTAATATATTTTATTATTATTCAATAAAAGAATTATTGAAGATAATATATTTAAGATATATTGACACAAAGATATATTATATTAATCTATTCGAAACCATCTTTATTATGATGATGATAGAAATCGATGGTATTTCAAAGTAATGAATGCTTTAAATAAGTCTATATGGAACTAATTATTGATGAAGGTTATTTATCTTTTTTATAGATCATATATGATATTGTTAGTGTCCCTAACATTTAGAACTTTAATCATAGAATATGTAGAGAAAAGCATATGTCATGTGTCATGTGTCATTCTATATTGTTCTTTGACTAGTAATATAATAGAAAGAGAACAGGTATAATCTCGTAATGACGATCCTTATTTTTCTTGATCAATAATAAATAGCAGAAAATATGATATAGAACACTAGAAATATGCAAAACAAATATTTAGCTTATTCTATACATAAAAATACAATAGATCCGCTTTTCTTTCTTTCTTCTTGTTAGTCGATTTATGATGAGAACAGAGAAGAAAAAAAACGGAGCTGTTTTCTCTCATTCTCCTCTCATTGAGTGTCTGTGCATATTATAGTTGTCGGTCTTCGACAACACATACATACATTAAATGCATAATCAAGTCATTTGTTAAGTACCAGTTTTTTTTTTTCTATAAAATCCATTCGGATTGTAATTATCAAGGAAACATTGACAATATGAGTTTTCTTAGTGGACATTGTTGTTCAAAACTAAATTATCTTCTTTGTTGCTCAAAAGACTTTTCATTAGAGAAGAAAAAGAAAAAATTCAATATACTGGTAAGTTTCAGGAATATTTTCTTAATAGAAATTTAAAAATTGATACTCAACATATAGTTATCAATTATAATTCTAAGTTAGGAAACGATTAATGATCTATTTTATTTTTTTTTATTTAGACGAAATAAAATATTATAAAAAGTTGACTATTTAAAAAAAAAGAATCCGTTAATTAAACTACTAGTGAAATGAATGACCTTAAACGAAGTAAATAAATAATTACCAAAATGTAGTTTAATGAGTTGATTTAAACATAAGTACATGCCTGTATGTGTGTTCAGACATGATACACTTATGGTAAAATGTTTCATGTTTATCAACTTGTTAAAGAGAGAAACAATAATTCTATCAAATTATGAAATACAAAGGAAGATGATGATTATTTAACATATTGATATTACAACACTTTGAGAATTCTTTCTAATTTTCAATTATTTAATCGAATGATTTTTTTTTTATTTTGAATTTTTGGATCAATATTTGACATATAAACGGATATTTTAGTTATTCTTTATTTTTGTGGATTATTGAAAATGATAAAATATAAATTATTCTAATAAAATTGATGATTGTATAGATTAACAATACATTCTTTTGTATCCTTTAAAATAATCTAATGAGTTTTAATCCTTTCTCATTTATGATTAATAGTTGATATTGTTCGACCTATCATCAACAAATCGATTTCTATAAAGAAAAAAATTGATCGCCTTCATATGTATAATTCAGTGATAAGAGTATTCTTTATTTGTCCATTTCAATTATTATTAACACATAAATCGTCTTATATTATATATAAATAGTAACGTTTTAGGTTTTTTGTTTCTTTGATATTTTTTAGCAAGAACCTATCGTCAATGATGTTTGTTTAAATAATAAAATCATTTATAAAAATGAATCATCTTCAATTACCTTGAATGATCAAAATAAAATTAATGTAAGATCATTATATGACATACTTCAACAACAGAACAGGTAAGTATACATATATCTTTAACTAATAACAGATAAGAGATTCGAAAATACATCAAACTACGTCATCAAACAATTAACCTTGATAAGAAGCCAAGCAAATCAAACGACTTTTTTTTTTCATGAAAATTACTTTTTTTTTTAAACTAAAATGAATATGAATCAATGAAACCTTGCATTTTCATTATTTCTATCAATTATTGAACAATCACGAACAGAATTTCTGAATCTAAAATAGAATCAAATCACTTTTAATAATGTTTATTTAGTACGATTCATATTGAAATCAAGGGCACACTTCTTTATGATTGTAGAAAAAAAGAAAGCAATGTCATCGTTTATTGCATTTATTATTTCAATAATTATTATTCTTAAGTTGTCCTTTAAAAGATCATTTTCTCCATTTGATTAAAAACAAAACAAAACTATGAATAAATTATAATCGAAAAATGATTCCTATAATAATTGTTTTTAATTGAACTGGAATATACGATCGAATATATATTGAATATGTAATAGATATTTTTGTAAATAAAATAGTTTGTCAAGAAAATCAATGTCTTATGATATTCGTTCATATTGTTATAAATAGATCATAAGAAAATAAATACACATACTCTTATTTCTATTTTATTTAGATCTTATAATAATAACGATTTATTTTATGAAATATTTTCAATCGAATTTTCGCATAAAAACAGTTTTCCTTTTG